TTTCTACAGCAAACAGGGGAGCATAAGGAGTTACGCGAAAAAACTTCTAATAAACAATATGATACACCAAACTCCAGGGTTTCGACAAAACTTATCAAAAATCGGAATATCCCCTAATTAAGAAATCCCTTTCTCAGAGTTGGTTTAGTAGACAGGTATAACATGTAAATTTAATTAGAAAATTCATTTATTTATAAAGAAACAGGAATAGACGAAAACAATACATCCATAACAAAACACTAAAATCAATTAAAAAACTTCCCTTGAACAAACAGTAATAAATAGTAACACGGAGAATCTGCAAGCCTGCTGGTGTGGAAAAGATCTAATTAATATAAATACATGCACTGTGTTTCATGTACGGATACAAAGTATCCAAAGTTACTCACAACTCATACGGTTTAGGGAGAGACAGTCCTGCTCGAATCCCTCAGCGCTAGATGGTTGAGTAATGCTTCACTTCAAAGAGTGTATCCTGTGGCAATGGTTTAGGATTCAGAGAGAGGGGTATGTTGGTAGGGCTGTAACGATGTAAGCGCCCTTCCCTTGCCCCTTTCTGGGCGCTCTCACTGACCCGCAAACTTTGATTGAGATTGCAGAAAAATTATATGTGCGGCCGCACATTGAAACAGCAGTCAGCAGCAACGGTGCAAGTGGGGGTCTCCACAGTGAGAGATTTGGAATCTCTCTACTAAACCAACTGTCTACTAAACCAACTCTGAGAAAGGGATTTCTTAATTAGGGGATATTCCGATTTTTGATTTAAAAAAAAAACTGCCCTTGCAGTGGTGCCACCCCCCACACTGCACGGGTTAACAGCTCATTTATGTATAGGGGGCCTGTGTAAAGGACTTTTACTTAGCTGATACAATCTCCCAGCAGTTGACACTTACCTTGTCCCTCCTATGCTCCGGCTTGTGGACTGCCCCTTGGCATCCTCGCCTACTGTGTAATGCAGGACTATGGCCTATGACGTCAGAGGGCCTCTGACTGCTGGAGCAGAGGAAGGAAGAGGCTGTAAGCGCCAGTCCAGGAGACTGTAAGAACAGGGATCAGATGAGAAATATAAAAATCCTTTATACAGGTCCCCTAGAAATTAACAACCAGCTACCCTTGTAGTGCAGGGGCAGCCCCACTGCAAAGGAAGTTGTTTTTGTTTTGTTTTTAACCTGGAGATAGGCTTTAATGATTGTATTACAGGTTAATGTAAAGTAACCAATAACATACCTATTTCTATCCCAACTCACAGGGATTGCTAGAGCTTATAACAGCCTCTATGCACAGTTTCTGTTAGATGACATAGTAAGAAGAATTGTATGTTTCACTTTAATGATTTGAAATAATATATAACTAGTTTGAGTCTGTCTGGAGTTCAGCTTTAAAGAGGGTTTTCCTCTAGATACATATATTTCTTGTTTTTTTTGTATTGTAGGTAAAGGAAAACAAGCAACCAAAATACAAAAGGATCACAATATTTCAAAGGCAAATTCTCCAAAGGAAGGCAGGAAAATCCATGAAATGTGAGTGATGGTTATCAATACGTAGCATGTATGTTAGTCCCCTTAAGCTCTTATTTTGCCACATAACGATGATGCAAATTCCACTCCAAAGCAGTCCTTTGGCGTGGATAAACTTGCTAATAGACATGATTCTGCAGTAGTATAATACTAATGGCTGCTAGTATTACCACCAGTGCACTTTGGCCAAAGAATGGTGTATGCCCTTTGTCCTACAGTACTGCCATCATGCTGGCCACTAATCCTGTGGGCCTTTGTACCACTATTAAGATGTGTGAGTAGTGAACATGGGGCCTTGGCAAAGCGACCTACCCATCAAAATATGCCTGGGCTCACTGGCCATATTAACAAGATTTGCACTTAGCTCTTTTGTCTTATTTATTGAGTGGCACAGTTTTGATGGATAGTAGCATAGTCTGAGACAGCTGAGCCTTGGTGCAAAATATAAGGCAGTAGCTATGAGAGAAGAGGATGTTTGAACATGCTGAAATAAGCCCAATGGGCCCCCTAGATGCAAGAGCAAATGCATCCTATGTTCCACAGTTCCTGAGCCACTAGTGCTATGTTAGCATAAACCAAATTAGGCTCACTACCACAATGAAAAGTCACATATGTGTATTAAATACCTTGCACTGTTGTCTATAGTCTAGTGGCAGAGATCATTTCAAAATGTAACCGTTCGTGTAGGCGGCAGGATTGTCTTTGAAATGTAACTTTCCATGGTTGAGATTCTTAGCCATCATAACCAGGCAATTTCTTCTTAGAAACAAAGATGTAGGGAAAGAAACAAATGAGCAAAAAGAGAAGATGTCTGGCCTTAATCCGCAGGCAGAAGTCACACAACAGGAGAGTCCACCAGGAAAGCAGCAAACGACTGAAGAAGAAGAAATGGTGCTCTTAGAAGAAATTACCAACAATGCAGTAAGTATATTGCCAGCTTTCATTAAATATAATTAGTATGTTCATCAAATTATAAGGATTTTAAACTAAACTTGTTAGGAGAGAAATATGGGATGTGTCATTGATGACTTACTTTTAAAGGTGCAAAACCCAAGACATCTTTATCCAAGTTTCACTTAGTGAGCCAGTGACCTTAAGCATGCAGACAGTATTGTCTGAAAAACCTGCCTCACAGAGGTCTGATGCCTTAGTTGCTTAAAGCCATGGTTTAAAGTTGTAGCCTCTAGGGCTCTCATCTTCTGGTTTTAAATTAAAATGTTCTCCCGGGCAGGGTTAAAAATAAAAAGTAGCTGAGGCTGCAATGCTCACCATTAGTCCGGAACTATCCTCTTTATTACCCCTTTTTTTGCCACATGCTGTTCTCAGTTATCCAGGTTTAATGATTTCCAGAGGGGACATACTATAGAGGGTGTCACCACAGCACCCTTTATTTATAGTGTGTTGAAGCGATAACAGCTTCCTTAATACGGTCCTCAAGGATTCAATTAAAGGACAGAACAACAGGACCCAGGCATTTTCCTTTCTGCAATGTATATTATGGTGGGAATGATGAAATCACCACCACACACTAGTGGAAATATACCACTTATTCCTAGTGACACAAAATGAAGATAACGAATTGGGGAAAGCCTAACTCCACCCAAAACATTTAATTTAGTTTTGGAATATAGTGGGGAATGATTAGATTATACGTCAGGTTTTTATTGTTGACTGTGTCCCTGTTGGGGGAGATATCCCCCCAACAGGGATACAGTCAACAAGAAGAATGAATGGGCAAAGCACAGATTTGTTTTAGTTTTTTGGAAAATCATTTTATGTTTCTGTTCTTTTACCAGAATTGGAGAGTGCTTATTTGTAGTCCTTGTATTTATATTTATTTGTAGTACATGAATGATATGTCTGACTTACAATAGTCATTAACATAAAGAGAAGACCTACACAAATACAGCTGCATTCCTGTATTATTTTAACTTTCATGTGGTTGCTGTTGTTACTTCATAGAGAAAAGAGGCTGTAAAGGGGAAGGGCAAGAAGAAAAGCAAACCAGAAAAGGCTCAAAAACCAGAGAAAAGTAAAACCAAAGCAGCCAAGAAATCAACTCAGGGATCTGCCACAGAAGGCAAAGCTGCATTTGTAGTAGGTAAGTTATTCAAAATGTAATGGAGATCAGGGGCGTCCCGAGGCTGGGCGACACCCGGAGCGGTAACCGGGTGCCATCCCGCCCACTCGCCGAGACGTCACATCACGCGATTACGTCATCGCGCACACGCTGCGATCTTCTGATATCTGCCGGCGTGCCATCTTGGTGACAGTCACCCGGCGGGATAACGTATGCCGCCGGGTCCCCTCCTCTCTCTCCTGATACTGTCGGGCGTTCGGTCCATGACCAAGCGCCCGACTTTTCAGAAGGGGGTGACACCAAAATGCCTTTTAGTCATTTTGGTGTCACCCGGGTGCGGGATGCACCCCGCACCCCCCTTGTGACGCCACTGATGGAGATACAATCTACAGTTAGACCTAATGTGAACAGACCTCCTGACTTCTCAATTTTTACTGTTTACTATACCTACAACTAGGGATGCACCAATACCAAGTACAGTACTCGGTACAAGTACAAGTCCAGATACTTTTAGAGCTCCAAGACTAGACGAGAAAAATTCAAAAGTTAGGAGGCAGTCATTTGTAAGGAGCACACGGAGCTAATGGGATTTGTGCATCTCTGTTTTAATGTATGATTTTGTTTTTATAAATATAAATAAGTTCTCAGACACTTTGCATCATGAGGTTGTGTCACATTTGACTAAGTATAACTCAAAGATCCAAATGGAACCAAGGCAGCCTGGAACTTTTTTGTCTGGTTAATTTACTTTTCCAGTCCAATAGCCCAGGAGCCCCCTGTGCACAGTTCATACAATGCACATTGAAGAGCATAGTAGAATGGCAGTGAGGAAGGCACACTTCTTTTCTTGATTTGCTGGCCTCGGCTCCCCTAATAGGACTCAGCCTCCTTTATAGTACTGATGGCCACTATGCATTTTATCATCCTAGCCCAATGGTCTTGTCACTTCAGCACTGTATTTCTTACAGGCTATGGGTGTCACATGAAATATAGTCACAGCTAGGGATGTTCAGATACCAGTTCAGATATTTTGGCATTTTCATGAGAGCTCCAAGGGATGCAACGGGGACCTAGCTCTGGCGCTCCACCACTGTGCCGAAATCATTAGTCTTTATTGTTTTAGAAAAACTGTCACATCACAATAAACAAAAATTTATCAGTACGTGCATTTGTGAGTACTGATACTTGTACTTGAAAAAATGGTATTGGTGCATCCCTTATATATATATTTATAAAAAATAGATATACATTAAAACAGGTATGCAAAAATCCCAGGAGCTCCGTATGCTCCTTAAAAACGACAGCTGCCTCCTAATTTTTTAGTTTTTCTCTAGTCTAGTCTTGGAGCTGGAAAAGTATCTGGACTTGTACTTGTATCTGAACATCCCTAGTCACAGCGCATCCCCTAACAGGATCTGTGAATGGAGACACTATATTCCCTATCAGCTACTGTGGCAGAGGGACTTGTAGTAACATCAAGGCACTTGTAGTGACATCACGGCACATGTAGTCTATCTATTTTTCCTCCTGTCCATATTACTGAGTCTTTGGGGTTGATTTACTAACCTTATAAACACACCACGAACATGTATACACCTCTGTAGTGTGTTCCCTCCCAGCATGATCTATGGGTGGAATCTAAACACCTTTGTAGTGTGTACACACCCAGCAGGTGAGTTGTGCAAAGCCAAGCATGAATTTGCAAGGTGATGTTGTGTAAATTAGCTCTATGTTGTGTTGCTTGCATTGATGAATGCAGGAATGTAAATGCATGAGCTAACCATTTTTGTCTAAACTGTGAAGCAGCATTATATATGCATCATGTGCATGATTTTTCCATATATGGCATTAGTGGAAATATGCTTTTAGAGACTTTTTGGTTGATAAATACGTTTTGCTGTGTGAAAATCACACGCACCTAGTGCGTGCGTGTGTTAAGGTTAGTAAATCACCCCCTTTGTATCTCGGTACTGACATGAATAAGAGGAAGAATCTGCAGGAGGCAGAGCATTGCACCCATGATCCATTGGCTCAGTGTAAGCACCCATCCTCACAGCCAGATGCAATATTGGACTGTGAAGAGCAAGCAAAGTGTGCTTGAAAGTAAATGTAAAACTTTTTTTTTCATATAGTGAATAGAATTTTGGCATATACTGAGGACAATTTGGGTACACAAGCTCATTAACTGTCCATGTTTACTTGCTTAATGTACACCCCCACAATCAAACCCACATTTACACCCATTCATAACAATTCCCATGGCATGATGAGAACTATAGTTTCTCATAGAAGCACTGTGAGAAGATAGGATGTGACGTATATGTCTGCATTACACCTCCTCCCGGGACCTGATCGAACCTGCTTTTTATGAAATGCAGTGATGAGGTCACGGATTATTCTTATGAATTGTTAAACGATGAGGTTGTTTACTAATAAATCAGCAGGTTTTAGATTTACATAGATAATAGAAGATTATCTCGTTACAATGGCACTTGGAAGTGGGTGGGATATATTAGGCAGCAAAAGAACATTTTGTCCATGAAGTTGATGTGTTAGAAGCAGCAAAAATGGGCTATAAGTATAAGGATTTATGCGACTTTGCCAAGGGCCAAATTGTGATGGCTAGACGACTGGGTCAGAGCAACTCCAAAACTACAGCCCCATTGGGATTTCCCAGTCTGCAGTAGTCAGGACCTACCAAAAGTGGCCCATGGATGGAAAACTGTTGATGGGTGGCCAAGACTCATTGATGAATGTGGGGAGTGAAGTCTGGCTCGTGTAGTCCGATCCAATAGAAGAATTACTGTAGCTCAGGTTGCTGTAAAAGTTAGTGCTGGTTCCGATTGAAAAGGGTCAGAACACACAGTGCATTGCTGTTAGTTGGGTATAGGGCTGTGTAGCCGCAGACGTGTTATGGTGCCCATGCTGACCTGTATCCACTGTCAAAAGTGCCTACAGTGGGCACATAAGTATCAGAACTAGACCACAGAACAATGGAATAGGGTGGCCTGGAAAATCATGTTTTCTTTTATATTATGTGGATGGCCAGGTGTGTGTGCATCGCTTACCTGGGGAAGAGATGACACCAGGATGCACTATGGGAAGGAGGCAAGTCGGCAGAGGTAGCATGATGCTTTGGGCAATGTTATGCTCAGAAATCTTGAGTCCTGCCATTTATGTGAATGTTACTTTGACATGTACCACATACCTAAACATCGTTGCTGACCAAGTGCACCCCTTCATGGAAACAGTATTCCCTGATGGCAGTGGCCTCTTTCAGCAGGATAATGTGCCCTGTCACATTGCAAAAATGGTTCAAGAATGGCTTGAGGAACACAATGAGTTGAACGTATTGACTTGGCCTCCAAATTCTCCAGATCTCAATCCAATCGAACACCTGTGGCATGTGCTGGAAAAACAAGTCCGATCCATGAAGGCCCCACCTAGCATACCTTCAGAGGTCTAGTCCATGCCTCAATGGGTCGGGGCTGTTTTGTTTATTTATATATATATATATAATCTATATTTTATTATCTGTTTGTAACATTCATTATTAGTGCATAACATGGACCATACTATTGCCATAACTTACATATTGACTAATGCATCTGGGAAATAAAAACAGACTAAACATATAATAGTTTTTCTCTATCCCCATGACACTTTGTATTTTTTGGGGGGCATTTTACAGGGCAGCACAAAGATAAGAAAGCAGAAAGCGAAATATCTTATCCAAAGAAGTCCTCAGGCACAGTGCAAAGACAACAAACCATCCAAGAGACTCAGGAAATGCTTCATGAGATGCCAGAAGATGAAGAGAATGACTTTGAAAATGAAAGTGAAGACTCCTACGTAGTTACTGAACACCTGGAGCGGAGCCCCTCTCCAACAGAGCCAAAAGATCTGCCCACTGACACAGACACAGGGGTCACAGACAATATTTCCAGCCAGGATGGAGAAAAGACAGCTCATAAGCCTACATTCAGTACCCTTGGGGTGACAAATCCTACCAATGAAAATGAGTATGCTCACAGCGAGTCATCAGAGGTAACAGCTGGGCATTCACCCTGTTTAGATAAATAATTGTATGTAAAATGTAACAAAATTAGTTGTGAGGACTATCCATGTGCTGCCTATTCAAGTATTGGTTGATATATTTTTTACACAATTATTAACAAACAAATCAAAGGTTGTAGGGGCAGTCAGCAATCTGCATGTCTTTGCAAACTCACAGCAGAACCACAGGCAGTACAGAAAGAACTAAGAAGAAAGTGTGCCATATTACGCACAGCATTACCTTGTATAATAAATCATTTCACTTTGAAAATAAAACCATGATAAATAGCATAACATAGGTTAAGGTTCCAAAAGGTGCCCACACACCTTGCGATAATCGTGCGATAATCGCGGGAAATCCCGCGATCGTACGATTATCGTAAGGTGTGTGGAAGCCATTCGACCTCTACTACTGTAAGGTCGCACGACTTTTATCTTAGGAACATGTTCGAAAACCTGCCGAGAATCGTACGATTTTCGGCGGGTGTGTAGCATGTTCGTAAGATAAAAGCCGGACAGGCCAGTGTGCGCAAGCGCACACAGCCCGTTTGGCATTGCAGTCATCGGAAGCCCGCCCCCCAGCGGGGCGGGCTTGAGATCATCGCAAGTACGATCTGCCTGTCCAAGATAGGCAGATCGCACTTTTTTTAATTGCCTTACAACCATCGCAAGACAAAAGTCTTGCGATGGTTGTAAGGTGTGTGCCCAGCATAAGTCATCCCATTGAACTGTGTTGTGGAAAGGTTGGAGAACATTTACACAATGCAATACGATTTTTATGTTCTTGCCCCCATTCACACAAATGTTATTTTTATTATATTACAGGATTTATATAGTGCCAACAGTTTGCTGAATGCTTTATGAAATAAATGGAGACATTACAAGACAAGAGCGTGGGTCGTGCTTGTGAGAGCTTTGTTTGCTTGTGCAGTCATGCACCAATGGTGTTCACCCATGTGCATTTTCATTTACTTATTTATTATTGGTATTTATATAGCGACGACAATTTACGCAAAGCTTTACACATTCTCATCAGTCCGAGCCCTCAAAGAACTTGAATTTTACCAGGAGAAAGACATAGAAGCATATAGAAAAAGTCATGTTCACTGATTTATTGGGCCTCTAATACGCATTGGTGCATCTAAAACTGTAAATTATTCAGTGAATTCAGTAAAGGCTTTGTGCCATATTTCTGGACAGCCGACAGCAGGCAGTGGGGGAATTCCATAACCAGTAGACAGCCAACACTTGTTCACCCAACAAAGATATATATAGTAATTTATGCATTATATATATTATCATTATGCAATTAAACACCACTTCAGTTCAGCTTAAAGGAGTCTATCATAATCACCAAAAGGTTTTCAGGAAGCAAAACATTTGAAAATATTTGTTGTACAGTGTAATTAGTGATTGTTGTCTGCACAGCATCAGAAACAAAGTCAATTTATCATTATTATTTATCAGTAAAAGGTAAAAATGGTAAAATACTAAGCTGTAGATGTCTGTTGTCCAGACCACCACCAGCTCCGTCCATCAACAAAAATCAACCAGAGCTCGAGACCTGTCAGAGAAAGCAGAAAGAAGAAAGCTTGAAGTGGAGAGGAAGAGGAGAGAACGCGAGGAGCAGCAGCGGCTGGAGAAAGAGCAACAAGAGAGAGTGGAAAGGATGAAGGAAGAGCTCGAAGAGGAGCAGCGGCGCCGAGCAGAGGAAACACGGTCAGTATATCTACACAAAAGGTGGTACTGTCACTAAGTGCTCTCTATTGCTACCATAGTTACAACTTTTTTTTTCTTCAACTAAGTAGAATTTCTTAAAGTAAGCACATGTTTTAAGGTGCTATTGCAGTGTCCAGCCTAAGGTACATTTGCTATAGCTTTAAAATGTTTACAGGTTTCCTCTTCTTTATTTTTGTTATTGTATTAAAGTGTAAGTACAGGCAAACAGCTAAATACATGGTTGAATGACACAAATGTGAACGGTCTAATCCTGCCAAGAAAATGTTATCCTACTCAGCTGTTTTTTTTTTTAAATCTAGCCCGCCCTATCAGAAGCACTGTATTAAATTTTATATTATTTTAATTAATGTAGTTAATAATGTAAAATACATTTAAGCATTTACGAATACACAAGTGAATTGAATGTTGTTTTTTTAAATCAGCATATGCTTACACTTTGTCTAGACTTTGAGTCAGTCTTTCTTAAAGAAAAGCTGTAATAGTTGTTAGCCAACTTTATTTTTTTTATATGGTCATACGTTTTATAAATTAAAGGATCCCCAGAGTACTATGGGTCATTTAAAGTGACAGCACAGCAGCCCCCTGCATTAAGGCTTGCTTTTTCTGATCAAAAACTTGGACAAAGATGTCTTGTGTGTGTAAATTTGAGCTTGTGCTATTGAACTCTGTAAACAACTGATTTTATACAATAAATTCGTTTTTAAAGTAAAACTTGTAAAAAGGAGCCAGGATTTTTCATACTGACTTGAAAAAAAAATAATGTTTTGTTAATCCTGAAAATAACGAAGGAAAATATAAACCAAGCCAAAAAAAAATTAGATGTGTATATATATATATATATATAATCAGCTAATAACTGTAGAGATATCAGACATAAGGGAAGTGCATCAGTTTCAGTTAGCTGAAGGATTTATAGCCTTGCATTTTGAGTTGCAACTATATAGAAGAACCATTTGCATATTACTGCAAAATAGAGCCTGTGTACAAATACAAGCACAAAATACACATAGAAACGTTATAATAACAAACTCGTATATAATTATTTTCATCGGACTATACATTTATTTCTGTGAAACAAAGTCTGTACCTTTAGTTTCCCTCATATCATAGTATTTTAATTGTATAAAACCAGATATTAGAGCATTCTAGTACAGAGAAGATGATTCCTTACAATAAGGATATATTGCCTTTTTAGAAATCGGAAGCAGCAGGAGGAAGAAGAGAGACAGCGCCAGGAGCTGGATAGGGCTCGGAGGATGCAGCTGGAACAGCAAGCACTAGAGAGAGCACGACTGCAGCAAGAGGAATATCGGAGGAAACTGCAAGACATTCAGAGGCGGAAACAGCAGGAAGAATTGGAGAGACAGGGTAATGTGGGAATATACAGTACTGTGTATCAACACTAAAAATATGTCTGATGAGAACAAGACCACATAGAAGCATATAAGTCAGTCTGCTGAAAATTGGTATTGTAATGTTAAGAAGATGCTAATGAGCAGAATTATCTGTTTTTATGTAAGTGATTCCGTAAGTGGGATCTTTGCACCTGAGTTCCAAGAACCATCCATGGTCATTATGATTGGGGGTTTTTAAGCAAAATTCTTGGTTTTAATTGACATACATTTACATATTTGCATACATTAAATACAATACAGCAAGGAGTTGTTAGGCGGGAACTCGGGTAAGGAGATCTCACTGCTGGAATACCTAAGAAATATAATAAGCTAGGGATGACACAACCAATGAACAAGCCATAGCTGGTCACACATATAATGATCTGATTGTACAAATTCCTGTAGATTTACCAGCAGTTATGTAGTGTGAGGGACCTCCTGATAGGAGATAAATTGAATGGAATGATTGGCTAATACTACAAAGTCATTGGTAAATGTAATATAGGTGTGTGGCCAGCTTTAGGCTGATCTTTTAGGAAATACAAATGCAGTGGCAGTTAAGTTATAATATGCATAAACATAGCTTTAAGAAGGATATGGTAGTTGTTTTGCGTGAAGCCATTAACTTCTATGATTGTTCTATGATCAGGCCACACACAAGTCTGAAGCAGCACAATGACAGAATTAGGACATTTTCTAGTTTTTTGAACCAGAACTTGTGGCTGATTGACACTTAAATATTTGGCCTTTCTAGTAAGTAGTGGGATTGCTTGTATGAAGCAATATACCCTTAAGGCATAAGTCATTTTAGTTTAAGTATATTACTACGGATGTAGTTCTTGTATCAAAAACGATAATAGATATATTATAATGGACAAATCATTTACCAACAAATCTGCCATATAAAGATAACCATTCTCCAGAAGTTCCAGCTCCTTTGTGTGTGCTACTGTAGAAATCGTTTGATCATCCTGTAATCTAACTATACCCCACGCTTTCAGCACTGGAACGCCAGAGACAACAAGAACAGGAGCGCTTAGATGCAGAAGAACGTATGCATCTTTTAGAAATGGCAGCAGAAGAACGTGAAGAATACCATAGGAAGAAACGGGAAAGAGAGGAACAAGCCAGTCAAGAGGCAGAACGTCAAAGGCTGATTGCAGAGGCAGAAGCCAAGGCAATAATGGAAGAAGCTCAAAGACAAGCTCATCTATTGGCAAGGTAAGAGGCTAAATTCAGTACAACAATCATTCTAAGGCTTGTTCGGGATACTACATGGTTTGGAATATCATTAAAACTATAAATACATCTACAAATCTACCAGTCACAAAAACATGAATGTGCTTTTCTAGAGATTGATATAGGACAATACAAATACTGTACATGACCAAGTCAGATACATTGGGGGGAATTTATCAAAACTGAAACAGACAGAATCTGGAGCAGTTGCCCTTGGAAGCCAATCAGCTTCTCTCTTCAGTTTGTTCAATTAAGCTTTGAAAATTAACGAGAGAACCTGAATAGTTGCAATTGGCAACTGCTTCTGATTCTGTCTGCTCCAGTTTTGATAAATTTCACTCATTAATTCAATCTCATTAGGACTACATAAGAGATGTTTTGGTTCCTGCTGTGAAAAACAATGCAGCACTGTAAAAAATGCATGTCAGTGCAGGGTGAAGCAAGCCCTCATTTCCTCATAATGCACCCAGCTATGTTAGTTATATATTTGTTTTGCCAACTTATTGTAAAGTCATATGTCACATGTAAGTAATGTAAATGTGGCCCTGATTTGTTTTTATTGAGTGACTAAAACCAGTATGTGAAGCAGCATGTCTTGCAGAAGATAAACATCTTAACCTCATGTTATGAAATAATAGGATTTTTGTACTCACCGTAAAATCAATTTCTGGAGGTCCATTGAGGGACACAGGAATCTTCAGGCAATACTATCTCCTATGAGAGGACTGGACACTGGCAAACAGAAAAACTGTAGTCCAGCCCAGGATAACTCCTACTACCAGCTTGCCTCAGTTTAGTAGCGAAGCAGTACCAAGAACATGATCATAAACACTGAGGGGTGGAACCTGTGTCCTTCAAAAGATGATTTTATAATGAGTATAAACATTGTCTTTCTTATCCATTGAGGCACAAACAAGTCAACAAAACACAGGCAAAAAAAGTCCAGAGAAAAAACAGAGACCTGGGGACCACCTGCAGCTCAAAGAGCTGTCTGAAGCACCTGAAGCGTGCATAAGCTGAGGCCTTCACGTTCACCTGGTTGAACTTAGAGAATACGTGAACAGGAGAGCAGGTGGCAGCCTTGCAAATGTGAGAAACAGTTGCTTGATGCCAAGCAGCACTTACAGATATAGTGGAATGTCCCTTAATAGAAAAGGGTGGGACCTGATTCTTAAGACCATAAGTTTGGATGATGGTCTGCCTAAGCCAACTAGAAATGGTGGAACGAGAAGCCAGCACATGCTTCTCCAGCCATCTAGGATGGCAAAAGGAGAATCGTGTGCCTGAAAAAATCCTTATACCTATGCAAAGTCAGAAAGGTTTCTTGCCAGAAAGGTCAGTTCAGTTATTTGCCTTGCAAAGGTGATGGCAACAAGGTATACTGACTTGCGGGTAAATTTATAGAGAGGAATGTCACTGGTGGGTTCAAACATCAGTTTCTGAAGTGCAAAGAACCAAATTCAGCTTCCACAGAGTCATAGGGGAACAAACAGGGGCATCTACACAAGAGACTCCTTGTACAAAAAGGTGATAATCAAAGTGTGAGGTGCCAACAGTTTCTGAAACAAAACAGAGTGGGCAAAAACCTGACCCTTGAGAGTACAGAGGCCCAAACACAGGTCCAGACCCAACTGCAGGAAGAAGAGGACTTGTGCCACAATTAAATTCCTAGGGAGAAATCCCCAAGACTCACACCAAGTGAAATATGGCTAGACCTTGAGGGAAGCAGCCTTCCTAGCTTTTAGCATCAAAGTAATCACAGACTCAAACACCCTTGTCTCTCAAAGCTTGGACTTCAACTGCCATACTGTTTAAGCTAGCGACCGTAAAGTAAGATGATAAATCAATCCTTGAGACAGATCCTGACAATCTGGCAAAGCTTATGAAGCATCCACTCGAAATCTTACCAGGTCAGCGTACCATATCTGCCAGGGTTAGTCTGGAGCAATGAGGATCATCTCAATCCTGTGAAGTAGATGATAAATAAGTTTAAGGGGAGGAAAAGCATAGATCAGGGTGTACTGATCCCAAAGAGCCACCAGAGCATCCAATGCTTCTACTAGAGGATTTCTGTACCTTGAGACAAATCTATCCAGTTTGTTTTTGACTATGAAAGCCATGAGCTCTAGGCCCAGCATCCTCCACCTGTGACACAGGTTCTGGAACTTCTTTGGGTGTAGGTACCTCTCCCCTGGGTCTGTCTGCCATATGTCCATGGTGGACAAGGCTGTAATGTGAAGTTCTGCACAGGACAAGATTCGATTTACCTCTCTTGCCATGGCGAGACTAATTCCCTATGATGGCTGATGTACATCTCTATCGTGGTACTGTCCGACGGAATCCAGATTGAATGACCCTCCAGCAGGTTGGTCCAACGCTGCAGAGACAGCCAGATCATCGAATGTTCCAGAATGTCTATTAGGAGACAAGACTCTGACGACCACGTCCCCTGTACCGTCAGAGTGTCCAAGCACGAATGCACTTATTTGTATTTATGTGCCCTAATAATCTTAGTGTATTTTTATTGAAAATATTGTTTGATAAACATCTAACATGGAACATAAATAAAATAATAAGTAACGCCAACTTTTTATTCTACAGGCCCCGTGCTTTCTGAAAAAAAAAACTTTCACAGAGAGTAGTGGAGGGGGGCAAGGGAAGCAAAAATGGTGCGGCCACCTATGGTGAAAAATGGGATTCTGGGCCTGGTGGTGAAAGGGTTAAAAAAAAACCTGCTTTAGATTTTCATAAAAGTTTGCTCTAATCAATTTTGCCAAACTCATCTTTGGATTGTCCCTAGTACCACAATGTACAAATGTAACACTGTTCTGCCTTTACTCAATGTTTTTTCTTTCCTCCTAACAGGCAGACAGCAGCTCTGGAGCAACAACTGCGGTTTAACACAGGACTGATGAAGGAGTCTATTGGCATGGATCAGACCCAGGGTGTCTCCAGACCATGGGTGTTCTCTTACTTTGAGTTATTGGAACTACTTGGGCTGCCACTCCCTGTGGAAGGAGAGTTAGCTTAGAAAGTTTTGCTTTAACAAAGACAATATGTAAACTAGCAAAGAAAGCAAAATAATATAAATGGAGCATTTAAGAACTTTTCACCAATATTCTGTTATTGAGAATTATTCCATGCTTTAAAGCCCAATTGAACTCTTCATTTAAATTTGGTAAATACATTCCAGGTAAATGAAAACAAAAAAGAGCACAAAGCCCTTAAGTGTACATTAAAAAAAAAGCCTGCCCCCTACCAGCATGCTGCAGAGTGAGACCCTTGCTCTGTGTGGAAACAGAAGTCAGACAGGCCCTCTGCTGAGTCAGAGCTCTCCAAACAGACAGGAGCATGAGCTTTTCTGATTGCAGAGCTATAGGTCCGATTCAGCAGGGAACATATCAGACATCTGCAATGAGACCACTGCTTCTCCAGAGAGCAAGGGTCCCACTCTACAGCATGCTGGCAGGGGTCCGGCTTTTCTACTCAGACTGTGGCTCCTTTAGAATTAAAACAAACGTGGAATGTATTATCAATTAAGCTATAAGGAAATACTTTTACATACTTCCAGATTTACTTTCAAATGCATATTTTTTAAAATCGTGTATGACTTGTAACTTATGTTAATGGCTGTAGCACTAAACATATTTATTTCATGTGTGTCTTATTGTCATTTTGGTACTGGATGAAAATATCATCTAAGAACTTCCATTTTTGTACAGGATCACAAACACCTGCTAAGCAAGCAGTGGAACCCTAGAATGCAGTCATTTCTAAAGACACCCAGACAATGAGACTGTCACAGGTCGGCTCAGTAGATCGGGAGGTGAGCGAACATATACAGGCATTCGCTCCCCTCTCGATCCTGTCACAGCTCTCTGGCGTGACAGGGGAGGGGCTGGATTCCACCCTCCCCGCTCCAATCCGCCAGCGCTTACTGGCGGAACGGATGGGGGAGGGGGTGGGTACAGCTGGCTCTGCCTCTAGATAGGCAGAGCCAGCTATCACTCACGCAGCTGGGCGGATCTCGACATCGATGTCGGGATCCGCTCCGGCGTCTCAGTATACCGCGAGCTGTAGCTCGCGGTATACTGAGCCTAGGGTGACAGGAGGACGCTAGTTTGTGTCCTCCCGTTACCCTAAGGAGAACGATGGGGAAAAGCCCTGACCCCATAGTTGTCCTTTAATTCAGCTCTATTTGGTGGTATTCTGTTTATTAGAGACTTAGCCAGGCCAGTGTCAGATCAAACCTTATGACACTGATCTTCTATCCTACTCTCAATTATATTAATACAGGTCATACATGTCAGGTTGTACTCGAATGCTATGGGCAAACTATCAAGTAGATAAATACATAATTTAAAGTGGAACAAAACCTGAAATTACAAAACTTGCTAGGAGGTAGAGGTTTTTGGTAGAAGAGACAATCTTTTCTCCCCAAAAACATCTTACCCTTTCTCCTAGCAACTCCTTTTTCTAGTATACAGTGCCTGCGGAGATGCAAGATGCAGAGAATGGAGTTGGGACAGTACTTGCACAGGAATTTCAACATTGGTAGCTGCCAAATGGCTGAAGAAGAAAGATGCTGGACCCAGAAGAAGTGCCTAAGATAACGGTGGCAGCTGGAGTGGTGAGGAAGAGTGTGGACCTGTCAGTGCTGAAGCAGGGCAAACCTAGATGTAAGTCTGCCCAAAAATAATACTTGCACATTATGGCAACAATGCCTTGTAACTGGCGCTTTAGAGCAGAGGCACTAACCCTTGCCCACTCTGCTAAAACATTTTTTTTTTTACTGTGTTCCTGTTGGGGACATTTCCACTCACTCTTCTGTCTGAGGCAGCACCATTGACCAGAGGCGGAAATAGGGGAAATTTAAGTGGTTCTAGATGCAAGGTAAACCCAAAGTTTTAGCTAGACATCCATCAATGCACACCTAAGCTACAAGTAACATTAGTAAATTTAGTCATAGGAGGTCCAACACAGAGAATACAATATTAGTAGTTTAGCTTTGTGTGGTTGCTGGAAAACAAAAATCTAATTGTCTTTCCACTCATGGGAACTACAACAGTGTACATCCCCACAAGTAATCCCAGTGCCAACCTGCCGTCATAGACTGTCTATTACGGAATATAAGGAATTAAGGAGTTCAAAAATGACAATGCCTATTTTATGGCTACATGGAAGGGGACAAACACAAATTCCTGGGGGGGCCCCCTGCCCCATACCAGGGGCCTCCCTGGTATCCCTCCACCTCCATACCAACGATCGGTATACCAGCCATATACCATATACTCTGTAATACCAGTCCTTGTACAACATACCTCGTACACATCCCCAGGCCAACCTAGACACGCCGCAGACCAATAACACGGACTTGTACATCAGAGACTCACACATGCCAACACTCTCCCCCCAGATTATAGCTACCCTGGAGAACCCCATCACAGATGAAGAGCTGATACGCTCTCTTGCCCAAACTAAACCCAGGAAGAGTCCTGGCCCTGATGTATGCCTAGAGCTCTCTTTCTCAATCTTGAACGTGATATTTCGAAATTCGTGTGGAGAGACAAACCGCCCCGTCTGGCCAAATCCCTTTTGCAGTCTTCTAAAGGTGAGGGAGGATTGGCGGTCCCAAACCTCCGCGTCTACTACGCGTCAACACACCTGCCGAGAGTGCTTCACTGGCACCTACATGCCAAAGACAAGCCATGGGTGGAGGTGGAGCATGCATGCTACCCGATATCACTATCCTCCATTACGTGGCTGCCGGATCGCCAACGCCCTCCACACCTACTGGAACACCCCCTAATAAGAGCGACACTCGCTGAACTTACCCGCCTTCGTAATAAGGGGAAAGTCACCACACAGGGCAGCCCGCTGACCCCTCTAATTGGGAACGAAGACTTCACCCCGGGGAACACGACAGCCTTCCTCCAAATTTGGAACCCCGAAACTACATTGCGAGCAACAATGTTCTTCAAGTCCAACAGATTCTTGGACAAGAAGGACTTATCCGAACACACCAAAAAAGGGACGGTCCCATGGTGGTCTTATTTCCAAACGCGACACTATTTGAATGACCCGGGTAGGAGACTGAACTTTGGGAGGAATCTTACACCCGTTGAACAGGCCTGTTTGGGGAGTGGACCAACCAGACACCTGGTATCCTGGCTATACGCCCAGGTAAACTCTAACGATACGAACCGCATCATGAATCTCCGCAGTAGGTGGGAAAAGGAGTTGGACACACGCATCTCAGACGACTCATGGCAGGATATTTGCCTGGCAGTCCACAAGAGCTCGATCAGTAGCCGCACCCAAGAAGCAAATTACAAGATCCTAACCTTTTGGTACAGGACACCCCACCTCCTACACAAATTTTGTCCAAACGTTCCTGCAACCTGCTGGAGATGCCACACGATGCAGGGTACTCTATCACACATTTTCTGGTCTTGTCCACTCCTCAAACCCTATTGGACCCGCATCCATGCCTCGATCTCCCAGATTTTGGGAATTAGCATACCGTTTCACCCAGCCAGATTCCTCCTACATGGGTCACCAGATGACTCGCCATACCCCAGCCACCTATCCTTAGACACTTAATCAATGCGGCCAGAGCCGTCATCCCCCGCCATTGGAAAGCTACCACTGTCCCAACTCACACTGAATGGATCACACAGGTGACCCACATATATGAAATGGAGGAACTCCTATACACCAAGACAGATAAACTTGACAAATTCACCACCCTTTGGGCGTGTTGGAAAGACTATATGTCACGGACCTACCGACCCGCGGACGAGACACAAACAGGAGCCCAGACGCCCAATTCTGACTAGACTACCTAACCCATGCAGGAAACACCAGAAACAGGCAATCGGGCAGAAGTGAGTACGAGGAGCTCCTTCTGGAGGACCATCTGGTCTGTCGGATTCACTACGCCCCCGCTCCTCTGCTTCTCACCTCCTCCCCCCTTTTTACCCCCCCTTTCGCCCCCTACCCCCTTTCTCCGACCCTTTCTATTTTTTGGAGGGCTCATGTACCCGCGGATACACGGGCAAATTACCCTGCCTTAAAATTCCGACGGCCCCCATTGACCAGCCCAATCTTGGAGGGATGGATGCCCTAAGAAGCCTAGTAGTGTCGGGAGAAGGAGCATATAAGCAAAACCCATAACGAAATAATACAATACCTCCCCATTCTCATTGTAATTATTGCAAATATTGAAGAACCGTATAACCTACTGGAGGAGATGAACAGCCAAACCCCCCACCCCCTCCATCCCAGATCTCCCATACACGTAGCTTCGAAGACACTATCCCTCTTCATATGATCCCCCACCCCTATATCTGAAAACATGCTGGTCAACTGTCATCTGTCATTTGTCTTGTTCTGTATTGTTGTCCCCTCAAACTAAACATGTGATTTCCTATTAAGAATGTAGATGTACTATGTTTTGTGTTTTAAATGTACTCTGGAAGCGTACACTTGATCCCCTCTGTAACCCTTTGGATCAATGTTGTAATTGTTTTACCTGAAAACTTTCTTGAAAATAAAAACTTTTGGAAATAAAAAAATAAAGATAATATTATTGGCAAAAAAAAACACAAATTCCTGTGCCAGCTACAGACTTTAAGAGATAAAAGAAGTCAGCTAATAATTTAAGCCTCTATTACTTACACAATAGTGCAATTAGTTTTGGGTGGAGTTGGCCTTTAAATCAGCACAATCATCACAGAAGGCTGTATTTCAGAGTTAGTTCACACCAGATGCAGTGCGTTCCAGCCCGATTCTGGCCAGATCGCACTGCATCGCATTGCAGACGGCTCACTTTTTTGTGGGGCAGGAGGGGCGTGGCAGGCCATTAAAGTGAATGGCACCGTAGCCACGCCCTCCGGCGGCAATGCGAACGGCCGCACGGGATTGCAAGGCACATTGTGTCTGCAGTCAGGTGCGATCAAAATAGTGCTTGCAGCATTTTGATCGCACCACAGCGGACCGGACCACAGGCACAATGTGCCTTGCGATCCTGTGCAAGCGATAGCTTTACGGCCAGAGGGCGTGGCTACGGTGCCATTCACTT